AAATGAAATAACCAGAAATATATATATATGACAGAAAATAGCAATATAAACTAAATATTCAATTGCAAACACTTACCTACCATAGTTTAGAATTTACTGCACGTTTGATAAATATATACTATTATGGACAGTATAGGAAGTTACTTGTTTTAGTAAAAGCCTTGGTAAATGCTCTTGGTGTAAACTACACTGACTTGGGTCAAAAAATATGGAATATTTTTCCTATGTTTTGCAGCATTACACAAACGGGAACAAATTTAAACTATAATACGTAAGGATAACTAAAAAATATAATATGTGTTACAAGATTTTATATAGAAAAAAAACTAAATACCTTTTTATAACGTCATTCCTTTTTTTGTATAGTTCTTCAATAAAATATTGGATATTCTGAACAGGGTTCGGAAAACTACATGTTAATTTTAAAAACTACATAAACTACAATACATGTAGTTAATGTAGTTTATGTAGAGGGTGTAGTTTATGTAACCTATGTATGTAACTTTCAAATATTAAAGGTTTGAGGTGAGGTTATAATAAGTTGAAGCTTTAAAAACACATAATGTATTTAAGAAAACAGAAGTAAACTACACTGACTTGGGTCAAAAAATATGGAATATTTTTCCTATGTTTTGCAGCATTACACAAACGGGAACAAATTTAAACTATAATACGTAAGGATAACTAAAAAATATAATATGTGTTACAAGATTTTATATAGAAAAAAAACTAAATACCTTTTTATAACGTCATTCCTTTTTTTTTGTATAGTTCTTCAATAAAATATTGGATATTCTGAATTCTGAACAAGATGGATTTAATAATAAATTCTGACGTATGTGAGGGGCAACTGTGACCTAAAAAAAGACTTACATCCAGGCCATATATTTTCAAATGTAAATGTTGTCAATATCTTGTGAGGTAAGTGCAAGCAGTAGCCATAACTACATCCTCACTAGGGTAACAGAGGCTTTGGCCTTTAGCCTTTTTGAGGCATATTTAATGCACTTCTTACCCGAGAACTACTAGTAGGAGTGAAATTATCTCTTTTAATAGCTGTCAACCATTTTTTACGAAGCTTGTCATTTTTGGGGAATATAAAAGCAGAAACCTTGAAACCCCCTCTATAATTCTCGTGACAATTTGAAACAGAGCATGTAAAAGGTATGCTACAATAACATATTAATACCTACTCTTTAATACCTATCTTTTGATTATTGTAAGTAACCATTATAAAGTACTATGCAGACTGGCGGTGAAGGCTTTTTACTCATTTAGGTGTAATATCTTGATAAATACTTCTAGTTCTTACCTTAAAATAATTAATAATAGAGGAGTACAACAAGCACAAAAGTTTGAAGTTTACACTGTTATTTTATCACAATTTTCTGATCACACCATGCACTGAACACTAAGAACTAAGCAAACGTGTTGCAGAAGCACAACAAACTGGAGATAATTAATTATTTCTAGTATGCAATCGGAACGAGAAACCACTACCGGCTTTTTAGTTTAAAGGTAAACAATTTAATAATGCGCTGCCTTCGCCGCCATATTTGCCTTGCCCGTATCATTTTGATTGGCCTTGAGTTGAGATGGTGCTGGTAAAATCAAATCGCAATGTTGTCAGTTGTTGGCTGGCGCACGAGCACGGTTCTGTAATATGATTGGGCGTATTTTTCATACGTCATCAATTGGCGCTTTAAAATTATTTCAAATTAAAGCAATTTTGAGGGCATATAAAAAAATTATTCAATGTCATGGAACTATTTTTTTAGGATAAATATACTGAAAATAGTCTTCTATTTCAGATTTTGTCCTTGAATTGGGTTTTTTTATTTTTTGTGAAAGCATTGTCACTGTAAATTTTACATAACCAAATTGTCACTCAAAATCGCTGTTTTTTTTAGACAGATGTCACTTGTCTTGTCATTATTCAATTCATTATTCGAATTCTCAGAATGTTGTTAAAAAAGTTTCATATTAAAATAAAATTTTAATCAATCACAATTGTTTATCTCCATCATTTACCGGATTAATAATACAGAAATTATACGGTTCAATTACAAACAATTCATTATTTATAGTGATTTACAGAAATTTTATTAATTAAATTATACGAATATTCTCGTTGATTATTGGTTTGAAATAAATATGAGAGTGTCCTCCAAAAAAATGCGAGTTACTAACTCTAAATTCAAATTCTGAGCTGGTAAATGAGCTAGACACTTTACCTAGACCGTTATTCAGAAGCTACAAATCTAGTTCTGCTGAGGGCTGGCCAAAGAGATTAGTGCTTTTAAAAACTACTCAAAATATGCAGATAATAAAAATATGCAGATAAAAAAGTTCGTATAAATTCATGTCCTAAAATGTTCGTTTTGGAGATACAGGGTGTAGAATTTTCATTTTTATTTCGTTTTGGTTTGCTAGGATTATAATGAAAGTACCACTAGTACTACCTTCTAGCCTAATGGAAAGTGTGCCTAAGCATAATGCAATGTGGTAATAAAATGTGTGCAAGAATACCAAATTTTAAGGAAAACGGTTTACCAATGTTCTTAAATATAAATAAAATATTTTAAATTATAAATATATTTATTTAGCTTTCCGAGGGGTGTAACTTCCTCGGGAAGCATTTTAGGGCATATGTTCATCTGAACTTTTAGTTTTATTTTTATCTGTAAAATAATTATTTATTGAAATTATTTGGTATACTATTTTTTTGACATCCTGTATATTTTGCAAAAATAACATTATTTTTTAGATTTCTGTTTCAGTAGCAAAATAAACAGGCTTTTTTTTTCAAGAAATTCAATGTTTGTTGTTAAATCAAAAGGAATTACATTATTTACTAGAAAGTAAATGTTAAATAAGCAAACAATAAAGTTTCACAAAAAAGGTCAATCAGGCACTAAATGCAGTGGAAAAACAAATAATAATTTATATGGCATTTGCATAATAGTAAGTGAACCCAAGTAGGGATTTTGGGAGCGGTAGAAAATAACCGTAGTGTGTCGGGCATCTGTAGCTCCTAGAATAAAAAACTTGTGATTTTTTTTGAATTGCAAACATAAAATATACTAGGATGTATTTCAGGAAAATATTTTAACTTCTATAGGGTGGCTCAAGAAAGTGTGAGTGTATCGGGATGATTTTTTTTAATGGAACATTCCGTATATTATTGCATTTTTGGCTTCCTTTTAGATCACTTTACATGATCCTAAGATATGAGTAAATATATTTCGATAGTTTCAGATATATTAATAAATAAATAAATAAATAATATATTTTTTTGAACCTTATATTTACTTTTGATGGTCTGTATTTACTTTGCTATAAATATGGTAATCGTAAATCATACAGTTTCGAACATCCTGTATGTTCAAAATTCTACGGCAAACTTTCTAAAATACAAAATAATTTTTCACTCTGTATTTTATTTCTTTAATAAATGGAGAATTAAAAAATGAACATTTTTTAGTTCTCCATTTATTGAAAAAATTTACATGGTCACTACACTTTGCACGATCCTAAGATATGAGTAAAAAAAATATTTCGATTAGTTTCAGTGATATTAATAAATAAATAAAAATTATGTAATATTTTACAGCCTTTCTTAAAAAAAATATTAAAAATACAAGAACAGTCCTGAAATCAAAACTATATTAGGTATTTACTTTAGAAGATTTGTACTTACTTTGCGATAAATATTGTAATCGTAAATCATACAGGATGTTCAAAATTCAACGCCAAACTTTCTAAAATATAAAATATTTTTTCTTATACAGGGTGTCTCAGATTTTAATCGGGAAAATTTAATAGACGATAGAACTTGCAAAAATAAAACAAAAAGTTCATATAAACTTGTAAGATTTAAAGCTTCCTTTTCGAGATACAGGGTACCATTAGAATACCAATTATAATATTAATTATCAATTAGAATTTAATTTTTTTCGCAAGAAGTAAGCAAGATAGACAAAAAAGTCAAGAGACAAAAAAATAATATTTTTAACTACTAAATCCAAAAATAATATTAAACTTCTAAAAAAGCAGTGGCGTGCCTATTTTTTCCTTTAAAATAATTTAACAGTGATGCCCCACCGCCGCCCCTGGCCATTAAATTTAAATCTAATTACATCAAATTAAGTCCCATAGTAAGTATTATAAACGGGTCAAGTTATATCAAAATCGATTAAACAGTTTTTCAAATATCTTATATTTTTTTTTCTTTTTTAAGTAACTTTAACACCCTGTATCTCGAAAAGGAAACTTTAAATCTTACAAGTTGATGTGAACTTTTTGTTTTATTTTTGAAAGTTCTATCGTCTATTAAGTTTTCCCGATTAAAGTCTGAGACTGAATATTAAAAATAAAAATAAAAAATATTTTATATTTTAGAAAATTTGACGTAGAATTTAGAACATCCTGTATGATTTAAGATTACGATATTTATGGGAAAGTAAGTATAGACCATCTAAAATAAATACCCAATATAGTTTTGATTTCAGGACAGTTCATGTATTTGTAATAAATTTTTTAGGAAGGTCGAAAAATATATTTTTTATTTATTCATCAATATCTCTGAAATTATCGAAATATGTATCTAAAAGGAAGCAAAAATTGCAATAATACACAGGGCGTTCCATTTAAAAAATCATCCCTATTCACTTACACTTTTTTGAGCCACTCTCTAGAAGTTAAAATCTTTTCCTGAAATACATCCTCGTATATACTTTAGGTTTGCACTTAAACAAAATTCTCAAGTTTTTTATTCTAGGAGCTACAGATGCCCGACGCACTATTGCCGAACCCTGTATAACTTTTTTTTGTTTTTAACATCTAATTTTCTTAATACAATATGTCCTCACAACTCTCGAGTAAATCACTATTTAGCATCATAGGCTCCCGCACTATAATATACGAAGACAATAATTTCCAGCAGTATTTGATAGTCGTTTCAATTTTTAATGAAAAAATTACAGTGAAATTAAAATATAACAGGACAGTTTTAATAAAACTGTTATCCAAAATAACACAATAAAGCTTGTACTGGCAATTAAGTTTAATTAAATAATTTCTTTCCTATAAAGAAGACATTGTTTTATTAAACAATTACCGAAGCCATCTACAATTACAAAACAGTACTTTAAAAAATTGAGGTCCAAAGTCGAAAGCATGTTATAACTAAATATAACTAATTAGTGCCTCAGGTGCATTCAACTAGTATCGCCTGTAGTACCTCAGTAGTAGTTGTAGTAAAGAGGCATTTTTGACATGAGTTGTTTCGACTATACCGCTTTTTGGTTGGTTATAGCTGTGATTTCTTACAAGTTGTGGGTAAAATTATCTACAGGATGGTGCAAAAGTAACGTGTGTTTGGTTGGGAAAACTGCTATTATTACAGGAGGAAACACAGGTATTTTTTTACGAAATTTTTTATTTTATTACAGCATTTTTGCCGCTCATTTTTATCAGAATGCACTTTATTGTGATTTGAAGTAAGTAACGCAAAACTCGTTCTATTTTTTTGCTTTATCATGATAAAAAACAAGTTGGATTACGTAAATCGAAATAAATTACGTTTAAAATAAGTATAGATGTCCTCCAATAAAAAAGACTCATTTGTTGTAAATACCATACTATCGAAAAGAAAAAAAAACGGCGTCAAAAGGTCGCTGTCATTTTATATGTAAAATTAAAAGGTGAACGTGTCATCGATCGGCATTTCAACGCCAATTTGACGCCTTTTTTTTGACTATGCGGTATGTTTTGAATTGTGAAATTTGAACTGAACAAATAAAGCATATTTAAAGTGAGTCGTTTACAAAACTAAAGTTATCTCTACTACATGCTATTAAAGTCATTATATCTGGTCATTCTCTGACTGCATTGAACACTGTATGTTTATTAAGACTACAAATAGGTGTATTTTACGAATTCTGTATACTTTCTACCCTACAAACAGAACTATAAAGTTCTATGAAAAACTAGTATATCTTAAAACACTGTTATTTCCTTTTAGAGTCAGATCCCAGAGCGATCAGACATAACTTATTTTCACAAGGATGAAACCTTAGGCTCTCAATAGTGCTCTCATGTGCTTTGAATATCGGCGTGTTTGTGGGGTTGGCCCTGAGACACATAAGGCAGATACCAGGTGAGAAAGGTAACTAAAATAAATAAATAAACTTTACTTATTTTTACATGTCTGATTTTTACATATTATGTTATTAAGACAGCTATTATAAAGTTATATTTAATCAGTCAGACAGATTGATTGTAATGACCAAACATCCTCTAAACACAAAAATTATTCAGGCATGACTACGAGCGCGGGAGAACTATGCGTACCCGAGTAAAGTATTTAAATATTTTAAAAATACTTACTGCCTTCGATCATCTCTATTTAAATAAGATTAGTTGTAAAAGTGAAAACAGTACATACTTATGGAGCCGATCGGCCGACTATTTGATTGCATGTGAGCACAGCGATAAAAATCTGCAACTAAATAGTTGGCCGACTAAGAATTGCATACCACCCTCAGGCTTATTTTCCAATATTTCCTCTTACAGTATCCAAACTATTTAAAAACGCAAGTCAGAGAATTCAAGGTGTCTTGTTTTTCAAATTAATATTTTTTTTAGAAAATATGCGATAATTGTTTTGAGTAGGTTATATGCAATAAATTAATTTACTTTAATAATTATTAATTATTACTTTAATAAAAAAGCTCATCTTATTTTTTAAATAGAGATGCAAAAATATTAAATCGAAAGCAGTAAGTATTTTTACTGCCCGTCAAATTAAATACCACAGCGATTTTTTTACTCATTTTCAACGAGTTGTAACTTTGATTTATGTACTTAGTATGCAAATATATACAATACTTTGATGTAATTTTGTTGATTTTTTTAGCATATTAAATATTGGTTTTCGTAGATTGATCTGATTTTTCTAAATTATGTATGAGATTTAGTTTTCTATGATATACAGGGTGTGAAAAAATAGAATGTAATTTTTGTGTTGCTGCCATTTTGCTAAAAAACAAAATTTAACTAGAATTATAAGTTCTGGGTATAGCTAAGACTAATATCTCGACGTATTTGACTTTTTACGATAACTCATCGGGAATAAAGATAATCAATTTCTAATTTGTATTTTTTCTACCTTTCTTAGAGATATGCTAACAAACTGAAATTAACTTTAAAATTGTAGGATATTCGTTACTTTTACAATGTGAAATTAAAAAAAAATGATTTAACTAACGCAGTTTAATACAGGATCTCTTAAAAATACGACCGGCGAAAAAGAAAAATTATTTTTTTAATATTCTGAACTTAACAGCCCATAAGGTTAATATTAAAGCTCGACACGTATTTGATATTTTTGTAAAAACTCTTTTTGTGTCTAAAAATCCGTAGTTTAGCTGCAACTTAGTAGTTTTTTTTAATTTCACATTGTAAAAGTAACGAATATCCTACAATTTTAAAGTTAATTTTAGTTTTGTTAGCATATCTCTTAAGAAAGGTAGAAAAAATACAGGTTAGAGTAAAAATTGATTATCTTTTATTCCAGATGAGTTATCGTAAAAATTCCAAATACGTCCCGAGATATTAGTCTTACCTATACCCAGAACTTATAATTCTAGTTAAATTTTGTTTTTTGGCAAAATGGCAGCAACAGAAAAATGACAAAAATTACATTCCCATTTTTCATACCCTGTATATCATAGAAAACTAAATCTCATACAAAATTTAGAAAAATCAGATCAATTTACGAAAACCGATCTTTAATATGCTAAAAAAATCAACAAAATTGGTCCATTTTTATTATATATAAAATATTTAAATACTTTACTGGGAAGCGCATAGTTCTCCCGCGCTAATAGTCACGGCTAAATAATTTTTGTGTTTAGAGGATATTTGGTCATTAGTCATTACAATCTGTCTGACTGATTAAATATATCTTTATATTAGCTATCTTAATAACATATGTAAAAATCAGACATGGAAAAATAAGTAAAGTTCATTTATTTTTTTTAGTTACCTTTCTCACCTGGTATCTGCCAAGGTGTCACAGGGCGAACCCCATAAATACAAATTCAAAGCACATGAGAGTGCTTAAGAAAAAGAAATAAAGAAAAAAGAAAAAAAAAGAAAAAGAAAAGAAAAAAAAAAAAAAAAGAAAAAAAAAAAGAAAAGAAAAGAAAAGAAAAGAAAAGAAAGAAAAGAAAAAGAAAAGGAAAAAGAAAAAGAAAAAGAAAAAGAAAAAGGAAAAGGAAAAGGAAAAGGAAAAGGAAAAGGAAAAGGAAAAGAAAAAGAAAAAGAAAAAGAAAAAGAAAAAGAAAAAGAAAAAGAAAAAGAAAAAGGAAAAGAAAAAAAAAAAAAAAAAGAAAAGAAAAAGAAAAAGAAAAAGAAAAAGAAAAAAAAAAAGAAAAAGAAAAAAAAAGAAAAAGAAAAAGAAAAAGAAAAAGAAAAAGAAAAAGAAAAAGAAAAAGAAAAAGAAAAAGAAAAAGAAAAAGAAAAAGAAAAAGAAAAAGAAAAAGAAAAAGAAAGAATAGACAAGGAGAACACAAAAACTCTTACGGACATTGTCAAATACATGTCTCACTCCCCGACTGTATAAAAGCCTAAGGTTTCATCCTTGGGAAAATAAGTTATGTCATGGTTATGTCTGATCGCTCCGGAATCTTGGACTATTCATATTTTACGTAAAAAACATTTTTTGGACACTGGGAGAAAAATATATTTGCTTCTAGACCAAATGTTATCTTTGCGGGCCAATTTTGGTACTGTCTCAAAGTTGCCCTACGAATTTTTTAGTGTGTATCCTCCTGATTAACATTTTTTACTAAAGTTGGACATGGTAATTGAATTGTTCTTTTTAAAACAGTTATTTATTTTATTGTATGTGTGAATTTTAATTATTAAGGCCCCTGTTAAGCAAAGGTACACCTAATGTCAGTAATAGGACGTTTTTTTAGAAAACAAATATGTCTCGTAAATATCGGCGTTCACCCAGATAATGGAATTAAAAGAGATTAAAAAAAGACACAAGGATATTTTTGATGGAGTTATTGGATCCCCAAAATTAGGGTGCACGTATATTGGCTTTTTTATTTAAGAATAATATATTTTTTGCTGCAATATTTTAGACAATAAAAAATCGCAAATCTCTTTTTTTTATCTGAGAAAATAAAAAAGTTATAAGGGCGAGCCCAGTGTTTTTCATAGTTTTCATCCTTTTATTTATTTTTTTTAATTAATTACGTATAATCTTAAAAAATGGGTAAAAAATTATATTATCTTAAAATTGTGTTTTACTATTGTCATATTAATTTTACTAAACTTGAAGTATTGTTCTTATGCAAATTCCATGCATAAAAAATTAAAAAAATCTATTAATATTTAAAAATATTCACGAATAATTGCATATTTTTCGCATTTTTTTGGCAAAATTTGATCCATTTAAATGCGCATATCATTGTCTTTTTTGTTTGGATTTTTTCCTTACCTTGATCATTATTGTCACCAAATTCATCAATCAATTGTCACCAGCTTAACTATATTCGCATATTTTAAAAATTTTAGCAACTAAGGAGTGTCCTTAATACATAACACTATTCTTCTGTTTATTAAAATCCATCCTAACCTAACCAGATTTAGTGTTATTTAGTATTAATATCTGGATATTAATACTAAACATTATTATATCAAAAATGTGGTCCCCGTTTTCTTAAGGTGCGTCCAGACCTGATGAGACGAGAGCGAGACGAGCGCTAGACATTCCAAATTTGCAGAAAATATTACTGTATGCGTTATTATTTGGCCATATTTTGTTATATTCAATTACAATTTCATATGTGTTTGGGTCCTTTCACTATGATCCAACTCGCTTGTTTCGTGGCAGGCTTGCCTCAAAAAATGGATAGAAGATGTCTCGCTCTCGTCTCGCTCTCGTCCTGCTCTTGTCTCGCTCTTGCCCAGCTCGTGCCTCGTTAGGTCTGGACGCACCTTTATTAGTTGACAAATTATGGCGTGCAGTTTAAATTTCACAAGACCGAGCTTTTAAAGTTCTATAAGTAAACAACGGTTTAGAGTTGCTAAATCAGAGCGAAGGTGAAGGAGAAGATGATTTTACTGAAAATCACATGAATTTGTTGGTATCAAGAGTCACTCTTGAGATCGTGCACTAGCCTCCATACACTGAATTAGAATAAATGTTTCCCATTAATTTTAGAAGTTCCAATTTATGCATTATTTAATATTATAGCTGTGATTTTAGATTACGATTTAAACAGTCTCAAAGAATATTATTATACTTGTCTTAATAAAAATAATGAAGAAACCTGTTTTTTTTAAATAAATACAACTCAAAATATAAATTTTGAAAGCTCTCACGTGATATTAGGGGAGGGGAGACTAATAGTAAAATAACTCGCTAGTTCACCACAATGCACCAAAATAAATTTGCTGGTGTTACCATAGTTAGCGAAACGCGTGTTCAGTGTAAAATAGTATATTGTTTTATTAGTAGTCAAAATGACACTTTTTGTGGCGAAGCTGTTGTTTGACATACAGCCGAGGCACAAAAACTCATTTTTACTTCGACTAGAACATGCTATTTTTTTCAAACGCCACAAATAAGTTTTTAAACAATTTCAAACGTTCCAAGTAATATAAAAATATTTAAAAGTCCTACCTTGTATGTAATTATATATCGAGAAACTATGGTTATGGCTCATTGAATTTGACACTTTATGTCAGTTTAAGAATATATTTTCGTACTTTAGGCGTTAAAATGACTTTTTTATATCGTCAGTATCGTGGTGAACTAGTGTTTTATTTTGCTAACGTAACATGAAAGATATGTCAAATAGCATTTTTAAGACCTCTTAATTTATTTTAAGGAATCGGATACGAGACTGCAGCAGATTTAGCCAAACGAGGCTGTAGAGTCATCATAGCATGCCGAAGAGAAAAAGAAGCAATATCTGCTGTGAAAAAACTCATAGAAGAAACAGACAATCCTAATATTTTATACAAACCTTTAGATCTCTGCTCGTTTAAGAGCGTTAGAGAGTTTGCCAAAGACATCAACAAAACCGAAAAAAGGTATGCATAATACCGTATGATCGAAAAAAACGGCGTCAAAGACGACTGGGAAATGACAATCGATGATAATTTTGACGAGGTCAATCTATAAACATTATTTACTAAAAAAACTTTAACTTTTTTAAAAAATGATAGAACGTTTTCAAACACACAAATATATTTCCAAAGCAGTATTTTTTCTCGAATTTTCTTAAGGTCAACTAAGCACGGGCAAGGTAAATGACGTTTAGGGCTTGACCTCGCTAAAATTACTATCGATTGTCATTCCTCAGCCTTCTTTGACGCCGTTTTTTTTTCTCGACCGTATGATATTTTTAACGAATATGAATTTGATAATGTTTTTTTCTTGATTTAGGTTAGATATCTTGATAAACAATGCCGGCGCAGGAATTTTGCCGAAAAAAATAAATGAAGATGGAATGCTGAATTTGATGCAAACGAATTATTTTGGACATTTCTTGTTAACTAATTTATTGTTAGGTAAGGTCTAACATGCCGAAACTAACAATATTTATAATATACAAGATGTCCCAATATTCCGTGGATATATATTTTTGGAATGAAAATAAGTTCACTGGACACGATTTATCTCTACTGGGTGCTTTTCAAAAGTGGCTCACCTCTATAACTTTTTTATTTTTCCAGATGAAAAAACGAGATTTGGTATGTTATTTTCGTATATTTATGGTTTATTTGAAATTGTAACATGCTGTTCATGACGACAATTTGACTCGAAATACCAAGTGTGTGGTACTAAATTATTCGTAAAAATGCTTTTTCCCAATATTCTAATGAGCCACCCTTGTTCCATTTGAAAAAATTGAGATATGATTAAAGATACGATCTGGACATCTTCTAACCGGCCAGGACAAGACACGAAAAACATTAGACGACCAAATCTCTTTTTCCAAGGTTCCTTGTTTAAAAATTAGTGTTTTAACACAACCATGGCACTCAAGTTTGAAATTTAACATGCGATTTTTTAGCGAAAATGTAAAAAGTTGACATAGAATATGTCATTCTACTCAGAGTGTTATTTTCTGTCGAATAAAGTAAAAATATACCGAGGGTGCCATTTAAAAATTTTCGGTGAAACAGAAAGTGACCAAAAACATTTGAATATGTCAATCAATCCTAATGTATGTCACATCTCGCATTTTTTATCTGAAAAAATAAAAAAAGTTATAGGGGTGAGCCACTTTCGAGACGCACCCGGTATATGATTTTAGTCCGGAAATTACTAGCGATGGGAACTATCGAATGAATTAGACTATCGAATGGTTACTGAATGAATGATTTCAACTATCGAATGGTTTTATTCGAATAAAATCATTGATTCATTTGTATACTAAAGCATAAGTGACAACCCCGCCGTGCGACTAAATGGTTATCGTTGCGCCACGAGCCACGACTATCGAATGTTTTTGATAAATGAAATTTAGTATTCGTTTGATTTTTGTGTGCGTCAGTGCATTATTAGTTCTTCCAAATTTTTATAACTTCGCCTTGTAAATACTATGCTATTTTTGCGTTTATTAAAATATTTAAAATACTAAAATAGTAGTTTTTTTTAATTGACTATTGTGTGCGAAGTGATCAAAATTTTTCCGAAAATTTGTGTGATTTTCCGTAGCCCGATCTTTCAATTATTTCATTTTATATGGTATATTATGGTTAGGTTAGATTGCATTTTTTAATGGGAAATTTTGAGAAGTAACAATTTTTAAGAGATGAACTTACAATTAATTTTAAAAATACATATTTGTATTTTGGATGTTTTAATAATATGAATTAGTTGAACTTAATAATCATATTTAAGTAATGTGGTTAAGTAAATGGTTATTGAACTCAAATTTTGGGGTGAGAAAATTAAATTGAAAGTTTTACACGTGCCAATTTAAAAAAAAGTTAACAATGTTTGTATTTTGTTTATGCTAATTCTCTTACATGTAGTTTTTTGCGAAGAAATATTTCATTTATTTTTTAAAGTAAATGCCAGTAAAAGTAAATATTATTTTTAAATAGTAATATAAAGTAATAAAAAGTAATATAAATAATTTTGATTTCTAATTTTTTATTTATATTTTCCTTCCATTACACTGCATGCTTAGAAAATTAATAAATGTTTATATTATTAAATGATTTTAAATGTTGTTGTTAATAGGTATAACAAATTATTACTGTTATTATTATTTATTAAACCAGTGTTTGCTTAAAAACATTAAAAATCATTTTCCTACATCCAAAATAAAAAGTGTTATTGCAGTGTAATAACAGAATATTAATAAAAAAATGCAAAACATTAGACATACTATCCCTAACTAACTAATCCTAAAGAATAATATTCTTTGCTAATACCAACTAATACGAATATATGGCAACAGCGCCCTTCATAATGTATTTTCTGTGTAAATACTAGCACCTCAATAAAAAAAATAATGTGTCCTTATCTTTATTTGACTTCGCAAAAAATCAAAGACGGCTACTTTTATAGCATTGCCACCGACCGCTGTCGGGTTTCTAGGAAAGAAACCTACGTCGCCGGACGACAACTAAAATCCAGTTTATATTTCATTAAAATCGATCCTGACGAATAAATGAATTTGATAAATGAATGAATTTTATAAATGAATGGTTTTTATAAATAAATGGTTTTTGCTGCCGAATTACTAGAATACAATATTTCAAGGCAGATAACGCATCTAATCGATAATTTTTATTCGAATAGTTTTCGACGAATGTTTTCTTACTAGCTATCGAATTATTCGAATGAATTGCAACTATCGAATGTTTCGATAGTATTCATTCGATAGTTCCCACTACTAGAAATTACTACACAAAAAATAATATTGAAAAAAATATCAATAAAAACTATTTTTTTCGCTAGATCTATTAAAGAAAACTGGACACTCACGTATAGTCAACGTATCCTCCTTCTTGGCCCTGTTCCCATTTAAGTTGGACCTGAACAATTTGAACAAGTACCCCAACACATGTTGGAATTCATTGAACGACCTGATAATGTACTGCCGAACCAAACTGTGTATCGTCTTGTTCACTATTGAGTTAACAGAGAGGTTAAAAGGTACCACAGTTACTACATACTCTCTACATCCTGGAGTTATACATACGAAGATATTTCAAAATCATCCTGGGTGGCTGAAGTATCCTACGTATCTTTGTACTTACTGGATATATAAGGTAAGTTTGAATAAAGAGCTGTTCACATATGTCAGGTACAACAATGATTCTACTACTTTTAATATGATGCGGCAACATTGTAACGTTGAAAATAATTTAGACAGATAAAGCCTTTATGTAAAAATCCAAATTTTCAAAAACCGGTTTTCCGGTATTACCGGTTTTCCATAAATGTCTAACCTACCATGGCCGTGAACCACCCTATATATTTATACATATACAGGGTGCTACAAATTTGGAGTAGCATTGGTATCTCGGAAACCATAATAGATACAAAGATGGTTAAATTGGGGCAAAGTAGCTCCTTGGGATGTTCACCAAGGATTGCTGAATTTTTTGGAAAAAAAACGGATTTTTTTGAAAATCAATTATTATATTTATTTTATGTTACTTTTTAGAAAACCAAAAAACTAATTGCATATTCTCATAGCCACTTTATTAGGGCTATCTGATAGTATTTTTAGATTTTCAAATTAGCTGATGATTTGTGAGATACAGAGGCCAACTTAATTTATTTAAATACAGACCTGCATTTTTTAATTCAGATTTTGAAAGAACTCGGTTTCTTGAGTACACAGATATGCCACACTTGAAACTTTTTTTTTGTTTTGGGTACCTTAACAATAACAAAAGTATTTAATTAATATTTAAAATAATTTCAAGTCCGACTCTGTTTTTTTTTAAATTATTTAATCTAATTGTATTCATCGTAACAATATTGATCAGCGCTAATTAACGTTGAATAAGGAAAATCGAGCCAATTGAAAGATTCAAATAAATAATATCCAGGTCAGCAATTTGAAGATAATATTTTTAACTTTTTTATTTTGAATTTGAAATCTCAATATTAATCGTAGTTAATATAAATAAATCAACTTCTACAAACTAGTTTCTAATGCTCTACATGTTCGAAAGGGTTACCACCCTCCCTAATGCACAAATTTATTTTTCGTTTAATCTTATTTATAGTTCTTTGAACATATTTTCTTCTTATATTTCCAAATGCATTTTATACTCTTTATTGTAAATGTTGAAATGTATTGATTTCACTTTTACAATTGACGTCAACAATATCCGTTTTTTTCCAAAAAACTCAGCCATCCTGAAATTTTTAAAACTTTTTTGATGGCATCTTGGTGAACATCATAAAGCGCAACCTTGCCCCAATTTAACCGTGTTCGTTGTTAGTATCTATTACGGTTACCGACATTTTACTTTTAAACTAAAGCTTTGTCGTATAAAAACTCGCTGCAGCCTTTTGTACTTAACAACACCACCATTGACGTAGTAAAATCTGTAAAATTCTTAGATAGGGCTTGTTGTAGACAGTTCTCTGAAATGGGACATACATATCGAAGCTTTGTCGAAAAAATTGAGCTCTGCCTGTTTTGCATTAAGGTCTGTTTCTAAGGAGCTTAACTTGTCAGTGGCTAGAACTATTTATTATGCACTTTTTGAGTCGCGCCTCAGGTATGCCCTTCCATTCTGGAGTACGTGTTGTGCGACTCAATTTGACCGCATTTTCAAGCTCCAGAAGAGAGCTGTTCGATATTCACTGGGACTAAACAGCAGAACTCATTGCCAGGACTTTTTTTAAAAATTGAAAATATTACTCTTCCTTCCTTATTTATATTTGAATCCGTTTGTCTAATACGTAAGCATGTGTCAGCTTCTCAAGAAAGGCCATCTCACACTTATCCACTCAGGAACGCGAAGCAAGATATTTATCTACCTACCCCACGCTCAAAGTTAGTTAAAAGTTCAATATTATACAACTCGAAAAAAATGCACAATCACCTACCATTTGAAATCAAATCCATAACATAATTTTCTTCATTGCGCAAAGCATTGAACTCTTATTTACTAGACAAGGCTTTCTATGCCGTAAATGAATTATATTTTGAAAATCGAATTTGATCTTCTAAACACTGGTCTAATGTTTGCTATTGCTATATTTCTAAAATGACATCGAAATAAATTTATTTAGAGGTCATTGATATTTACTATAAACTAACTAAATATTTTTGAATATTATTTTTATTTTTTTGTTCTTTGACATTGTAAACATTTATAAATGTTTATTTTAAACAATAAGACAATATTATTTGTATAATGTTTTGTATTATCTTTTGTTTTTTTGTTTGTGTAACTTGTTTGTTTACTTTGTTTGTTTAGTTTACTTTTGTCTACAAATTGAAAATTTTTTTGACAATAATGGCATTTATTTATTTATTTATACTCTGCTCGTACCCCGAATTCGTAGCACCCTGTATAATTGGGTTCTCTGTTGTTTTAGAATGTCATAGAAGGAGCTCAAACTTCAGTTTATTGTGCCGTAGCGAAGAACATTGAACATTTGTCAGGCGATCATTTTCAAGACTGTCATGTAATGGATAGGTACCCAAACGCTTGGAATCCTGAACTCGCCAGAGGATTATGGGAAGTGTCGGAAAAACTAGTAAAACTCCATGATAAATAAATTTTGATAAAACTGTAATGTTAAAATTCTAGAGCAGAAAATAAATTATTTGTATTTTTTGAATTATTGTGAGTTTCTTAATTCCAAAAACTTTTTTTTTGAATAATTACCATTAAATTATCAGTGGCGGTCTAATTTTTAAACTTATTAAAATACAGGATGTCTCAGAAATAAGTGCAAGTATTTTAAGGGGTGGCAGATCTGGTCAAAAGAAACATTTTCTCTTTGTCCTTAGAATTATAAATTTTAAAGCCTTTAAATTTCAGTATGTACTTAATTAAAACGAACCCCCTGCTTTTAAAAGGAAGGGTTATTACTAATTAATACCTAATTACTTCTTGCTTATCTTCGAGTAAATTTGCTTAAAAAATAAAGTACAGCAAAGTGTTGACGGTTAAACCTTGCCCGAAATTTTCTCAACATCAAACGGATAAAATTTACTTAACTCAATAATAAATTAAAGATTATTCTCCTTGAGGATTTATTTTTTGGATTTCTTATATTCGCCTCAAGGTATTTTATTAAGAATGTATTTTTATACATTAAAAGTTCCAAAAGACATCTTCATGGATTTTTTTGAAAAATAAACTACTGCATTTAGTAAAAATATCTATGAATAATTTGATCGAAATAGAAATTTTATCAAAAACAGGAAAACAATAATAAAATATTAATATATTCGAAGCAATGTATTAATACACACATTAGTACAAATCGAATAAAAATATATATAATTAAAAGTATATAAAATTATTGTATAAAATTCTACTAACAACTCAAATGTTGATTTATGTATATTGAATGGTTTTAACCAGTAATTATAAAATTAAATTATTGCTATTAGTTGATTAACATTGAACAAATATTTGAATATTTACAATTGTTGGTTTTTTTTTCCAACCATTTATAATGGTTGGACAAACAGCTTAAACCCGATTTCACATGAGCTGTAAAAAACACTGAACTCGGCAATTCTATTTAGGTACATTTTGCTTGTTGATTTCGTGGCACAAAATATGTCCGAGATGTAACTGGCGTTACCGTCAGCATGTTCGAGATTTACTTTACGTCTGCGCCGCACCGCTGCGCGCATAGACAACCTTGCTGCGCGATCAAAAATAGTGTACCGTAGTTCTGCTTTCAGTTGACAGAGTGTGTGATTGCCGAAGACAGCGTTGCCAGAACTACGGATTAATTCGTAGATTTACGGATTTTGTGTACGGTACGTGAATAATACGGATTTACTAAAATCCGTATTATTAAAATCTAAGAGTTTCCATCGCATGGCGGGCCCATAGTCCATAGCGGGCGATAATTATAATAATAAAGAAATATAATTAAATCTAATTTTAATCAAGATGCTTGCATTTTGTTTCATTTATTTTTTTACATAAAATAAAAAACACTGAAGGATAGAAATATCTTGTTATTTTTAGATTATTTATTTTTGTACTTTAATCTAGGTTTAACACGAATAAATTCTCAGTACATAACATATTACATATAATACACATTTTAATCTGGCAACACTGTCGCTTTCAGTACCACACCGTCTTTGATATGCCTTCGCTGGCCGAATTAAAGAAAATTAATATTTTATGCGTTAGCTGCAGAACGAGTTGAGGCTCCACCGTATAGCACTTGAGACGTAAGGGGAAATCAAATCAGCCTTTAAACAAATTCGCCCATTAGGGTGCGTATCTTCCTTGTTCTTTCAATCAACGCTTGTAGTATAAGGTTATAAGATGATTAACAACTCTGTTTAAGGCTCGAAAAGGGCTGGTCCAATTTCAATCGTGAAATATCTAATTTTTGAACTAAGTTCAACGATACGAAGTCATCGAACAACCTATTAAAATTTTGAACTTGGTTTAAATCTGAACTCACTCTGAATCGGGTATAAACAACCGTGCCTTATTCTACTTTTATGGAAGTCTATAATAAGGATAAAAATAAATAATATTTTTTAAATTTCTTAATAATACTTAATTATCCTACCGTGCATATCCCAGTAAAATTTATATTAAATTGTCTTCATTACATCATGTATTAATTTCACAAATAATAAAAAAATTCCAAGCTGTATAAATGACCTCAGACGTATAACACGAACTCACCTGTAACGATAGAAGAACACTGCGCAATAAATCCCAAATGGTATGCACAGGAGCATATATGGTGATGGCATACGTCACTCCTAATAACGGTATGAGCACTGCCAATGCCTTCACTGCTTTCCTGTACTGTTGTATTTCCAATGTGTTAGCTGACCGGAGCTTAGTAACTAATACCACCATAATGGACATCATGAAAATGATGTTGATTATCAGTACTGCTATTGTAGGAGCTTGGAAGAGGATGTCTAGGTAGCTATCCCTAAACCAGTCACACTGAAAAAAAAACAGAATTTGATTAAGCCTTAAAGTTCATGCAGTCTAATATACAATAAAATAACTATTTTATTTTGTAGATCTTCTTGCAGTGGAGATTTTCTTTTTGAGAGTCTAATATACGATAAAATACATTTGAAATTAGTTTTAGGAAGTTCTACATATTTTTTAAAATTGAAAAAGCCAAATGTATCTTTATACCCTGCTGGCAAGCGAAACCTTGGGTCGGCGTTTACATGTATACGAGTGAATCGCTATGGTAATCTAGTAAGTCGGAGAGAGCAAAAATACGAAGTATTTATTACATAACCACTTAACGCTCCTTTCCATGCGCTTGGGAAAATACTTGTCTTCTGTCTTTATTCAGTATATATCTTATTTTACTAAGCGTGTTGGCCGTACTCTTCATACACATGAAAACCGTCACCCAAGACCAGAAATGCCAACCGTTTGTGACTTCCTGGTTAACAGTAATTCCAATCGGTGCTCAAAATGGGCTCTTTCACAAAAAATAAAATTCCGAATTCAAGGACAAAATCTGAAATAGAAGACTATTTTCAGTATATTTATCCAAAAAAAATAGTTCCATAACATTGAATAATTTTTTATAGGCCCTCAAAATTGCTGTTATTTGAAATAATTTTAAAGCGCCAATTGATGACGTATGAAAAATATGTCCAATCACATTGCAGAACCGTGCTCGTGCGCCAGCCAACAACTGGCAACAGTGCGATTTGATTTGACCAGCACCACCTCAACTCAAGGCTAATCAACATGATATGGGCAAGGCAAATATGGCGGCGAAGGCAGCGCATTATTAAATTGTTTACCTTTAAACTGAAAAGCCGGTAGTGGTTTCTCGTTCCGATTGCATACCAGAAATAATTAATTATCTCTAGTTTGTTGTGCTTCTGCAACACGTTTGTTTAGTTCTTAGTGTTCAGTGCATGGTGTGATCAGAAAATTGTGATAAAATAACAGTGTAATAAAAATCCAAACCAGACATTCCACATAGGTACTCCTCTATTATTAATTATTTTAAGGTAAGAACTAGAAGTATTTATCAAGATATTACACCTAAATGTGTGTTACACCTTCGCCTCCAGTCTGCATAGTACTTTATAATGGTTACTCTTACAATAATCAAAAGATACGTATTAAAGGGTAGGTATTAACATTTTATTGTAGCATGCCTTTTACATGCTCTGTTCCAAATTGTCACGGGAATAGAGGGGGTCTCAAGGTTTCTGCTTTTATATTCCCCAAAAATGACGAGCTTCGTAAAAAATGGTTGACCGCTATTAAAAGAGATAATTTCACTCCTACTAGTAGTTCTCGGGTAAGAAGTTCATTAAATATGCCTCAAAAAGGCCAAAGGCCAAAGCCTCTATTACCCTAGTGAGGATGTATTTATGGCTACTGCTTACACTTACCTCACTATAAGTAAAATATTGGAAGAAGAATCAAGCTTTTTACATCAAAAAGATCACAGAAAGATATTGACAACATTGACATTTGAAAATATGGCCTGGATGTAAGTCTTTTTTTAGGTCACAATTGTCCCTCACATACGTCAGAATTTATTTTTAAATCCATCTTGTTCAGAATATCCAATATTTTATTGAAGAACTATGCAGAAAAAAGAAATGACGTATTTACCACAAAGACAACGCCCTATGTAAAGAGAAAGAGTAAAGAAAACTAAGCTAAGCGTAAGTTTTACTTACGAATCCCCAAAAAGGTATTTAGTTTTTTTTCTATATAAAATCTTGAAACACATATTATATTTTTTATTTATCCTCACCTATTATAGTTTAAATTTATTCCCATTTGTGTAATGCTGCAAAACATAGAAAAAATATTCCTTATTTTTTGACCCAAGACAGTGTAGTTTATAATTCCAAGAGCATTTACTAAGGCTTTTACTAAGACAAGTAACTTCCTATACTGTCCATAATAGTACCTATATATTTATCAAACGTTCAGTAAATTCTAAACTATGGTAGGTAAGTGTTTCCAATTGAATATTTAGTTTATATTGCTATTTTTTGTCATATATTTCTGGTTATTTCTTTTTCCGATATTTTGAACACCCTATATATGCTACCTCAAGTTTGAATATTTACACACTAGTACACTACCTACATATTTTCTGAGAAAGCAAACCTTTTTATAAAAAGTAACTAACTGATGTTTTCATAAAAGTAATAATACAAAAAATTCCATACTTATGTGGAGAGCTTTAGACTCCCTGTATATTATAAAAATTAGTGAAATATTACGTAATCTAACCCGACATTTGTGTGAAAAATGTCTATTTGGAAATAAAACAGGTTTTAAAATACGCCCAAATAAAGCACTTCTATCTCCGCCATATTGCAAGGTTGGAATTGCCTTGTGTGGAGGTGGTGGCGGGTCAGCATGGTACCCGGCCGTGTTGCCGCTTTTCAACATGCCAGGTGTGACGTTTTAAAAATAAAGTGCGGATTTTTATTCTGAGCTTTTTTGTTTTTATTTATTTTCTTAAGAACGACTTCAAATTTTTCGAAAGTGAGATAGCTGAAAATTCTAGAATTAATTGCTTTATTCAATTATGCTAATTCCAAAATATAGTGAAAGAGCCCATTGCGGTTCTGTATTGATTAAGAGTTACTTCACCAATTAAAAAAACAC